AAAATTGAGTTCTTTGACCACAGACCAGGTGTATCCATTGAGTTCATTTAAATGCTTATTAAGTTTTTGAAAACTATCGGGCAACATATCTAATTTCATATCTTCATTTTCTAAATTCTTCAACATTTCAACCACCCAACTTTTATCTGCATCCCTTACATCAAATTGAGTAAGAACTTGCTTAAGATATTTAAGGCGCGTGGTATAAGGTGGAATAAGTGCCAAACATTCTATAGAAACAATCAGGTCATTCTGCTTTTGACGTCGTCGATACAATGAAGCGTCACCAGCCATTTTTTCAAGCTCATGCGCAACTTGTTCCTTGGAAATATCTTTCCAAAATATTCGTGCCTCGGAACAATTAATATTCTGCCAATTTTTGTAGCTATCACAAGTTTTTCGATATTGTTCAATCACAACTTCTCTGAAAATTATGGCCACGTTCAACACATTTGATTGCATATCTTCATCTTTTACATTATTTTTAACCATGTTTTCAAAAGTTTGAGAATCTCTATATTGATATACTTTCTGGCTGATTTCAATAATCGTATCATGTGGCAACCAATAATCTTGAGAAGTAAAATCGTCAAGCGAGACATCTTTTAATGATTCCATCTTTTCGGTAAGGTCTTCCAAGTAAGCGCGAAAATCAACAGTCTTATCACACCATTTATAATAGAAAGAAAATAAATGTTCAGCAATTTCTGAATGTTCATGCGATTTTTCCCTAAGAAAATCCAGCATTTCACTAGTAATCTCATCATCAAAGCCAACACCTGAATTAAAATAGCTGATCAATTCGTCATTCATAAATTCAGTTAATGTTTCAAGTAACCCCATTTTAATTGATCTATTTTTCATTGAATTAACTAGTTGAATAATCTGAGTGCGAACATATTTCATTTGTGGATGTTCTTGGAGCTCATTCACCACGCCAGTAGCATTTAATAAAAATGACAAAAATCTAGAAACTTTGAGCAATGATAATTGCCGTTCATCATTATTAATATTAATTTCTCCAGATTTCATGACTTTATTCCGAACTACATCCAATATATGGCAAATTGTATCTTCACACAATCTATTGAAAAATTTTAATTAAAATAAGAAATTGGTTCTATTATCTACGTACCAGTAGGGTTGCGCCTCAATTAATAAATCAAAACATAATCAGAGTAACATATAAAAATTTCGGATTTTTTATGGGCCTAGATTTAAATATCAAACTAAATTTACATTTTTTTTGGCACAAGTATCTAAAGAAAGTGCATATAATTTTTTTTAATTTGAAGCTCTCGGCTAGCTCTACAAGGTAATAGAGCTATTTTTTAAATAATTTTGTAAAAAAAAATTGTAACCATTAATTAAATAATCAATAATCAATATTTATATAATTTTTGAATAATTTTGATAAACTGTTTAAAAAAGCTCTATTACCATGTAGAGCTAGTTGAGAGCTTCAAATTAAAAAAATTTATGCTCTTTTGTTAGGTACTTATGCTAAAAAATATAAAGTTAGTTCTATAATTATTTTTATAATCATCTAGTATAAATCGTCGAAAAAATTAACGATAATATTGAAATTTAACCATTAATAAATCCGAAATTAATGATCATTTCTGCATTTGATTTTATTAGTTGAGGCGGCATTTTCGAAATCAGTGCTAGCTGAACTACGAATCAGATTTCAAGATCAGGTGCAACGTAACACGATCACGAAAATTCAAAACAAACGTTCGTTTTGTCAAAATTCGCTTATTTCTCGAAATTCTACATAGGAAACCACTTTTGGTGCTCTAATAAAAAGTTTCGTTGGCATTGTTACTATATAAATTACCTTCTAACCCGTAACCATAATTCTAACTATAACGTAAATGAACATTACAACATTTTGCTGCGCCACAAACCTAGCACACATTCAAGTAATGCTCTGTGCTAGGTTAGTGACGTAGACAAAATTTTTTAAAGTTCATTAATTTTAGGGTTAGCGTTTCGTATAAGATCAAAAACTAAGTGGCAATATAGTAAAATCGCACAAGAAAAACTTTTTGTTAGAGCTTTGAAATTTTCTGATCGTACTACGTTACACCTGATCCTCGAAATCTGATTTGTAGATCAGGAGATCTACGTCACTA